GTCGTACCTGTTAACTAAACAACAATAACAACAGTTAAACCCAAGCTGACTAGTGTCGTACCTGTTAAACAACAATAATAGCAGTTAAACTAATCTGACTAGCGTCGTACCTGTTAACTAAACAACAATAACAACAGTTAAAACCAAGCTGACTAGTATCGTACCTGTTAAACAACAATAATAGCAGTTAAACTAATCTGACTAGCGTCGTACCTGTTAACTAAACAACAATAACAACAGTTAAAACCAAGCTGACTAGTGTCGTACCTGTTAAGTAAACAGCAATAACAACAGTTAAAACCAAGCTGACTAGTGTCGTACCTGTTAAGTAAACAGCAATAACAACAGTTAAAACTAATCTGACTAGTGTCGTAACTGTTAAACTACAATAATAGCAGTTAAACTAATCTGACTAGTGTCGTCCCTGTTAAACTACAATAATAGCAGTTAAACTAATCTGACTAGTGTCGTCCCTGTTAAACTACAATGATAGCAGTTATACTAACCTGACTAGTGTCGCAACTGTTAAACAACAATAACAGTTGTTAAAACCAACCTGGCTAATGTCGTGGTGCATATCTATACGCAGAAGAACACGGCACATTTTCATCATCAAATTAGTTTTGGGTGTGATTCCAATATCCATTTCTGGCACATTTCCTCACATTTTCTGTCAATAAGTGTGTAAGTGGCGTCATTAAAATAAAGAAAAAGTTAAATATAGAATGTTGTTTAAGATTTTAAACTTAACGCTTGATAAATACACAGATGTTGGGGTTTTGAATTGATGTTTTTCTTAAGGATTTGACATCCAAAGCTTTCTGTACGGATAGATTGTTCTCAAATATCACTTTATCATGACAAGTTATGAATAAAGAACGAATTACATGTCCCATATTTGATACTTTAATGGTTATTACATTTTAATAAAATTTTAAAATTTCGAATTTTGTTTTAAATATTGTATTATCACAAAACATATGTAGCTTATTTAATTTAGTCGTTAACTGTTTAAAATTACTAATATTTGAAGAAATTATAAGCCTAGAAAACATTGGGGTTAGTGGAAGAATCACTGAAACAATTTTAGTAAAAATATATTATCTTTCATAGACTTGATTGGTTGTAGTAAAATATCGTACATAGCAATTAGTAAACAACAGCAACAGATAAATAATAAATGGAATAAACTGTTGAAAACCTTGATTTTGGAGAAACTTATTCCAACACATTCGCGCGTCCTTTTGGCCTCACATCGTTTTTCGGTTGGTTGTATTTAATGACGCTTCCACCAGTGCCATCTGTGCCAAACGGTTTAATAATAAGGAAAAATGAAAAGGGCAATGTAAAATATGAAAAAAGTATACCTAATACTAATCACACGATAGAATTTAGAATCACACAATACCAACGTCATTTACAAAATAACATGCAATAAC